AAAAACCCGAAAACTATTGAAATCACTTATTGTTAAAATTGAATGCCCTACCAAAAAGCTGAACGTAATGATGCGTAAAATATTGACAAGGTGCATGTGTTAAAATTTAGTTAAGAACATCTCCTTGTAAAGTGCGCGATTTTCTGCTCTCGGGAATTTAAAGCAGCTTCTTAAATAGTTTCTTTATGCATAAAACTTACTTATGTCAATCATTTATGCACTCGTTGGAACCAACAGAGTGCTAAGGCATTCAAATCCTAACAATTAAATTGTTATCGCTGATTTCAATAGTTCTCATTTTTTTTTGGGACACCCTGTACATAACAATATACATAAATCAACAATATACATACAACAATATTCATACAATATTCTAAAGCCACGTGACCACAAATTAGCTAATCACGTTTGGTATTCACCCTAGCTATATAACAATGATCATTGGAGACCAATATACTCTAAGACAAAGAAATAATAGTTTTGAAGCAGACAAATTGTCATGTGTGTTTGGCAGGTGTATCAGGGTACGTGGCCAGTTCTCTGTATAAGAAGATTGGAGGAGAAAATTGGGTGTGGAACGTTGTCTTGACTTCTACTTTATTTTCAGGTACTGTACTGTTGCAACACACACTTATTATCAGTTTAGTATGAAACCATTATTGCAGGGTGTTAGCTAGCCCATATACTGTCCGTTTGACGGACTCTTCCCAATTGAAGTAACTAAGGGGCTTTCCCAACTGGGTCTACTGGAAGATTTTCATTTTTTCTGATGAGAAAGTACAATGCGTTTGATTATATTATATTATATTATTATATCAAAGAACGTTTTACTTACTTTTTCCCATTAACTATTTTCTCAAAATGTATCTCGTTTCACTCATATTGGGTGTGTATTCACTGAAATGAAATGTACAAAACAAAGTGTAATCGGTGTGCATCCGTGTTCATTCACCGGAAATGAAATACACAAAACGAAGTGCCGTCGGGTGTATTTCTCAGTGTTCATTCACTGGAAATGAAATGTACAAAAACAAGCTACCGTTGTTTGCATCTAAGGAGAAACACGTTGGAAAAAAAACACTAGTTATTCCTACACAAGGACTTTGATCAGTCAAAAAAACTTTCCCAATTTACGTTTAACGGACAAAACTTTTTTTCTGGCTAAAACCCTGTATTGACTGACATAACGAGATCTGTATCATATCAGAAATTTGACAGTGAAAAAGTTGATCAAGATGAGGTTTTTTACTATAATATATATCTACATTACATTTCTTCTCAAAATGACCCAAATATTAATACACATACCGAAAATTATATTTGGGATTAGTCGCACTTTAAAGCCAAATTGATTATATTTTAGTTCCATTTTTCTTCATCTGGAGTGTAATGAATTCAGTGGCATGGTACAATCAATCAACTCAAGCCTTACCTTTCACAACTATAGTTCTTCTCTCGCTTATCTGGTTAATTGGTACGTTATTTAATTATTCCATTCAAAACTACACACGTAAAAACGCACAAGTTGTAACAAACTTGCAGCAGACTTGTATCAATGCTGTTCCAACAACTTGTCAACAGGATGTGTTCGCACTGCTTGTTCGCGTCTTGTTGACAAGTTGTCAACGGCTTGTTCATTAATGGTATTTTAAAGTGAATATAATTATTTTCTCTCAATTATAGTCGGGTTTCCTCTTACTGTCATTGGTGGAATTTTTGGAAGAAATTGGTCGTCGCCATTCAGTGCTCCATGTCGTACCAAAAATATTCCCAGAGAAATACCACAACCTATTTGGTAAGTCACGTTATTTATTAAAGTCGTGTTATTTATTTTTACTACGAATTAGAACTAGCAGACTATACATCGAAAATAGAACCCTTTGGCTGTACCTGCTGCTACCGACCTTACCTATTAACTGAGTCATTCTTCTTTGGAACAACCTGCCTCACTATAATCAAACCTACAACGACATTATATGGACAAACTTAAAACTATTTTGGATGTTTGATAGGCAAAGAACTTACAAAACTAATAGACAACTTGCATGTCACACTAATTTTTGATCTAGGCAAAAAAAGTAAATTCCCATAAAGAACATGCAAAATAGAGCCTTGCGAAGTTTGCATATTTTGTATATGTTTGTGTATTACGTGCGGAAATTGTTACCATTTTTGAGCCGAAAATTCGCGCACGTAATAAAAACATGTACAAAATTTGCAATCTTTGCAAGGCTACACTTTCCAAGCTTTATATCATTTCGCAACCAAATGTTGCAGTTTTACTAATTTCATTACGTTCTTTTTAGCTGTGGTGTTTCATTCCCTTCTCTTTACTTATAGATTAAAATTTAGTCTAATATGCAAGTTGTCCATTAGTACTCTTTATATAAAGAATACTAATGACACGGCATCTATTGCAGTCGTGTTTGAAGCTATTCGAAACACTTGTAGTCAGGGCTGCAAATAAATATTTGACTTGACAGGACATTTGTCCGATCACTTTTAATTTTGGTCGGTACTATTTAAAGCACGCGCGTAGGAGTGTCCATAAAATGCGAGTGCGCAGCACGAACATTTTAGACATGATAAAACACGACTACACAGGGCTACAAATTACTGTTGGACATCGGACAATGTCCGACTAAATTTGGCAAATGTCCGAGCAAAAGTAATTTTGATCGGACATTGGTCCGATAAAAAAAAATACTGTCACATTATATATTTTTTTGCGGTGACAAAATCCGATTACAAATTCACTCAATTTGCATTTTGCAATAAAATTTACGAGGCATTCTAGCATTTTACTTAACGTTGCGCCGGAATGGCTATATACTTGTCTCGTGACTTATATATATATCTTGTGACTTATATATGTCCGACCAAATTCAAGTTATGACATAAATTAAAAAGTACTGGAAAATTGTAGGGCTTTATGATATTTCCCTTGTACGTAATTGTACTTATTGCATGCACTATACAGTAAGTGATGTTAATTTTTACATGTTTGATCTTAGGTATCGGTCAGCTTTTGTGCATATGATAGTTGGCGGTTTTCTACCTTTCAGGTATTGCAAATAGTTTTTTTTTGTTTATCTACATAATAATATCAGTTCGGTCTGAACTGTTCTCCCTATAGTGGTCCAGTAAGTTCCACCCCTTATTGGTTCGATATAGGTTTCAGACTTCCACTGTCTTAGTACGCATCTGATTGGTTAATCGAATATATCAAACGCATCTGATTGGTTCATGGTCCCTTAATGGTATAGCGGTAGTGGAAGTCAAATCTGAACCTCTGAATTGTTACTACACGAGGAAACCTACTGGCTATGCCTTATTGGGGATTTATCCACGCGTTTTAGTCTACCAGGCCTTAAAATATCGTTCACAGGGCCGTCTAACAAAATGTCCAATAACTGTGAGTTTGGGTCGGACATGTGTATGATGATGTCCGATGACCTTCAATTCAGTTTGGATCCGAAATAAGTCTGAATGACACGAATTAATATCAGCACAATGTATTAATTCTGAACGGTAAATGTTGTGAAAATATTAAACAATTTGCGTCATTCATACTTATTTCCAAGCCAAATTAACTTGCTTGCCAAAACCAGCAGTAAGACTTTGTAAACTTAAGCAATAAGCCCGTTTCCCACTTCACCATGTCGCTCGCCGCCCCGCCCTCGATTGCATTAAAACAACATTTCCAGTTCACTCTTTATACATCACTCTAATTTTCCATTTAACATAGTCGAGCCTCTAGTCCTGGACTAGGGTACACTTTGATTTACGTCGGACAAACTACAGTTCGGTCGGACACCAATACACTCGAGTCGGACAAACAATAAACCTCAGTTTCACTTAGGTCGGACAGAATGTCCGGTGGTTTCCTCTCTACGTCGGACAATTTCACAAATGGGTCGGACAATGTCCGTGACCGACCGATATTTTAAGGCCTGGTCTATACCAATTTTTCGGAAGATAGTGTTTTAGTAGGAGAACACTTCCCCACTTCCACGAAAACCCCCCACCCTGGTAAAAAATGGTCTTTTAAAACAGGATGTAGACCTGCTTCTTACAATATTCTCATTTTGTAATGTAATACAGTATATTTATTGTCTAGTGCGATATCAGTAGAACTGTACTACATATTTTCAACCATCTGGGGACATGATCACTACACATTATATGGCATATTGTTGATAGTATTCCTGATCTTACTCAGTGTCACTGCCTGTATATCTATTGCATTGACGTACTTTCAACTGTCCAGTGAAGACTATAGATGGTGGTGGAGATCTGTTTTTAGTTCTGGGTAAGTGGTCTACTCGGAGGCGACCTATGGAAATTTGTGGAAGCATCTGAAAATCTTCATGCTCATTTAAATGTTTTCCTGGTTCGTTTAACCTCGAAAACATTGTTGCAGATACCAAATTTGTTTCCTAAAAATGTTTTCCATCGAATTTTCCATCTAGTTTTCCCACATTTGGGAAATATGCATGGCTTGGAAACAATGGGCGCTTTCCATTTAATGGCCTGACCGGTCAGACCCGAATTCTTTTCTCTGTATCAATGGAAAGATCTGGTGTATGTTTCTCAAATATCTAGTGAAAATGAACCTCATTCTAATGCTATCTAAATTTTCCGGTCAGATATGTCCAAAGCCCAAAGGTTTTTTGTTTCATTCAACAAATTGACCGTTCTGACCAGTCTGGCCGTGTTAATGGAAAGCGCCCAATGTTTCCTGGTTTGTCCACTGTCGGGAAACACGATTTACCCATCTTCTGCGAACATGGCTAGGAAACAGACTACGAAACATAGATATCTCAGCCAGGAAACAATGTTTCCTGGTTTGTCCATCTTCTGGAAACATGGCTAGGAAACAATGTTTGCTGGTTTGCTCACCTTCGGGAAACATGGCTAGGAAACAATGTTTCCTGGTTTGTCCACCTTCAGGAAACATGGCTAGGAAACAATGTTTTCTGGTTTGCCCACCTTCGGGAAACATGGTTAGGAAACAATGTTTCCTGGTTTGTCCACCTTCGGGAAACACGGCTAGGAAACAATGTTTGCTGGTTTGCTCACCTTCGGGAAACACGGCTAGGAAACAATGTTTCTTGGTTTGCCCACCTTTGAGAAACATGCATGACTAGAAAACAATGCTCAAATTTTCCTAACACTGAAAAACATTCAATGTTAAACCAAGAGGCCTTGCCCTTTATTTCCCCAAATTTGAATCCTTATTTACAACATTTTTTTGTATTTCTAGGTCAACGGGTATATTCGTGTTTTTTTATTCAATGTTTTACTTCGTGAAACGTTCCAGTATGTCGGGTGCCGTTCAGACAACGCAATTTATTGGTTGGACAATCTTGATCTGTTATATATTCTTCCTAATGTTGGGTACTGTCGCTTTCTTCGTCTCGCTCCGTTTCATAAAGTACATCTATGTCAATCTAAAGAATGACTAAAATTAGTACCGTAGAATTCTGGAATTAATGGCCAGTGAATTTTCAAACTTAGCAGCCCTTGGTCGCGATTATGTTTGCCAGTTGGTCGTTAGTTTCTAGTAAATTAGTTTTTCACAAAACCTTTTCTGAAGATGCATGCTTCTGTAATACTGTCTTTGGGGGGAGGGGGCGCTAAATGTTTTGGGGGAGGGGTTACTTTCAATCGGCCGTTACTTTCGGGATTCTTCGGTCCTTAATAGTTAACCTAAGTACAGGGATGCCGGAACGATAAAAAGGCAAGGAGGGCAAACGTACACCAAAGGGCACCTATAGACCCCGGTGAAGATATAAACCTACAATTATTTGTTGACTTGCCAATGAAAGCAAACGCACTTAATCAGGTCACATTCAAGATCACAGCTCATGATTTTGCCCCAAAAGCATCACTGGAAATGTGTTTTATCAGGTAGTATTTTATAATTCAAAGGGCACTTCTGCTCCCCTTGCCCCTCCTAACAAAAGGCAAGAGGTGCAGCTGCCCCTCTTGCCTCCCCCCAGTTCCGGCGTCCCTGCCTAAGTGTTTTTATGTCTGGTTTCCATTTGGTTGTAACTGTCGCGAACGTGTCGTGAAGTGTCCTTTGTCCCCCCGTGATTATCGCAAACTGTTATCACGCTATAATAGTTTTGTTTGTGGAAACACCACGTAAACTTATTACTGCAAAGCTTATAAAGTTAATGAATAATTTAACTGTTCGCCATGCAAACATACAAAGAACTTATTGTTATTACGCTGTCGTAACGTTGTTCTGTTTCCATCACAACTAACCCTTACGACACGCTTTAAGCCTGTCGCAACTATCGTCGAGATAGAACTCGAGCACTACTTTGCAACGCGAACACTACTTTGCCGACAGTTACAACACGTTCGCGACAGTTACGACCTTATGGAAACCAGGCTTGATAGACCGACTTATACTGAAGACATATAATTGATAAATCATCCGTCAAACTTCGACGAACCACGAAGATTCGGTAGGGAAGCCAACCAACCCAGCCGCATCCCAAAAAAACACATTTGGGTCGGCAGAAAAAAATAGGGTCAGTTGGGAAATCGGAAACACAGGATATTTTTTGTTAGGCCTGAGGAAGTTTTTAAAAAAACAGGAAAACAGTAAATTAGCCTGGATTAGAAAGATATAAATAATATCGTAGCAGACAAAATGTATTTGCCACACGCTGCATGTTGTGAAACGTGTTATCTGCCGTGTATAGTGGTTTTCAATGATAATGCATAATATATACACTACTAGATCAGTGTTGGTGAAGCAAATGTTGTAGATAGTTATTTGAAAACAATATGCGTTTGTTAAACTTAAACTATTGGTTATATCGTCATGTTTCGCGGTCGACAGCTAGGGTGCTTGACATTTATTTACCAGACCACCATTTCTGTCTGTATTGTTGGAATGATCTCGTCCAAGTTTTTCGAAATTCTGGTCAAAATGAACCTCGTGTTTCGATCCAATGGAAACATTTGACTTCCACTACTACTACCTACTCACTACCATCCCATGTACTTCCACTACTACTACCCATGTACTTCCACTACTACTATCCCATGTACTTCCACTACTACTATCCCATGTACTTCCACTACTACTATCCCATGTACTTCCACTACTACTATCCCATGTACTTCCACTACTACTACCCCTCATGTACTTCCACTACTACTACCCCTCATGTACTTCCACT